GCATTTCACACATGTTATCCAAATACTGACTGTTAGCACTTGGTGGTCTATAGCAGCTTCCTTTATTAGGACCATCATGTCATAATGTCAAACTGTAACTTTATGAGACCATTGTAGGAATATTCCCTGCTTCCTGTTATGTGTTTGAATAACATATCCATCAACATTAGTAGAATGTTCCTGTAATGTTTCCTCAGAACCACTTCTATTGCTCCTACATTTTATTGCGGCAGTATGTTCTAAGAACATTAACGGATCATTTTGTTATTACATTCCCTGGCAACCTAATGAGATCCTTAGTGTAATGTTCTGTGATAGTTGTTAGAACATTCCAAGGATTCTTATATTTTATTCGTAGAAAATTATATTTGATGATCAAAAACATGCTTTGAATGTTTCTGGGACTTTATCATTCTAATGTTCTCAAACTCTAACTAGAACTTAATAAGAATGTTAGCTAATGTTCTGGGAATGCTCCCGGTTTGCTGGACTGTTTGTTGTTATAAATACACATCATTGGTTGTTAGACCTATACAGGATCTTAATTTGACCACCCTGTTGTAGGATAATTTTTCTTCCACCATAGGAAATTAAAACTTGTATTGTATTGAAGGTTAAAAAAATGCTTTTAAAGTTAATAATTTCCACTTTAAAATGTCAGACTTGATTTGCCCTAACGAAAATGTATCAACCTATACAAAATGTACCATTAATTATAATCCACATAGTAATTCACCTTTCCTGTTGCTGCAGGATTATTTTACTGTTGTGAGAAACTGGTCAAATTAAGATCCTATACCTAGGTAGGTGTCTCGGATGACATCTCAATTAACGTTCGGTTCTATTAATGTTCTAGTAATGTTCTCTCATAACCAATTTAATTGAATCCAGACATGACCGTTGAAGAATGTTTAGGGAGCGTTATTGGAACAATCATATCATAACGTCACACTATAACATTATGACAGCATTGTGGGAATATTCCCTTCTTGTTGTTATGGGTGTTTTTAATAACATATCCATCAACATTAAGAGAACATTCCTGTAATGTTTCCTCAGAACAATTTTCTATTGCTCTCACATTTTGTTGCTGCAGTATGTTCTAAAAATATTACTGGTACATTGTGTTCTTACATTACCTGGAAACCTAATGAGAACGTTTGGAGAATGTTCTGTGGTAGTAGTTAAAGGTGTTATGCACAACATTTTAACATTAGGAGAACATTCCAAGGACATTTCATTGAAAAGATTTACAACCTTTTATTTTATTTTAATCAAAAACATTATTTGAATGTTTTTGGGATGTTATCATCCTAATGTTAGTTAATGGGAATCTTAGCTAATGTTCTGAAAATGTTCCCGGTTTGCTGGGCAGTTTTTTATATTTTTAAAATTAATTAATTATATTGGGGGAAATTCTAAGATCAATTTCAGTTCAAACCCTTTATTTTCCTATGATTGTGATTCAGGTCAATGCTGTGTCTGATTTAGCGCCTAGTTTTATTCTTCTAAACATTGACAGTCACTCATATGTAAACAGTTAAACTGCTAGTAGACAATCTACTATCACCTAGACGTGAGTATAGCTACTTTTATTGGTAATATTTTGTTTAAGTTGTTCCTAGTGACTTTTTGTATATTTTGTACTGAACACACTTTTAAATGGTTTTTAAGGGATGAGAAAAATACTGAAGATGATGATTTGTGTCCCTGCGTATTTCATTAGAATGAAATGTTAACCCATTGTGACTGAGGCTGATACCTCTTGGTTCCCAGACCCTTCTGGCAGCGCACACATTGTTAGTTTTTCTCTCTGTGTTTTTGATTCCTAATTACGTTAGTTTTATGACCACTGCATAGTGTTGGCATGAGGAGGGATATGGTGTCAGTCAGACATAGCTTTGTGTGTGTGTATGTTTGTTCACGCCTGTGCTACAGGGGGTACAGTGCCTATATTTAACCCAGCCCCGAAGAATCTAGTCTTAAAGGGATAGTGCAAGATTTTGTCAATTAGCCTTTTACACTCGACCTGTATACGGGTTGAAAATGGCAGATTTGGGCTCTGCGCTTCACAGCGCTGTCTGGGTTTTGACTGACAGCCGTTTTGAATTTCATCACCACACGCGACAAGAAGTAGCCCCCATCCTTCCCGCTAATTGGGCAACTATTAAAATGTTTGTGTTGTCCGAGTGAGGGAAATGCTGTAAATTAGGAGGACTCGATGTACACTGAACAAAAATATAAACGCAACATTTTACATTTTAGTCATTTAGCAGACGCGCTTATCCAGAGCGACTTACAGTTAGTGAGTGCATACATTTTCATACTGAACATGCAACAATTTTAAAGATTTTAATGACTTACAGTTCATAAAAGGAAATCAGTCAATTGAAATAAAATCATTAGGCCGTAATCTATGGATTTCCAATGACTGGGAATACAGATATGCATCTGTTGGTCACAGATACCTTAAAAAATATATAGGGGCGTGGATCAGAAAACCAGTCAGTATCTGGTGTGACCACCATTTGTCTCATGCAGCACGACACATCTCCTTCGCATAGAGTTGATCAGGCTGTTGATTGTGGCCTGTGGAATGTTGACCCAATCCTCTTCAATGGCTGTACAAAGTTGATGGATATTGGCGGGAACTGGAACAAGCAGTCATTCACAGCGACCCAGAGCATCCCAAACATGCTCAATGGATGACATGTCTGGTGAGTATGCAGGCCATTGAAGAACTGGGACATTTTCAGCTTCTAGGAATTGTGTACAGATCCTTGCGACATGGGGCCGTGCATTATCATGCTGAAACATGAGGTGATGGTGGCGGATGAATGACACGACAATGGGCCTCCGGTTCTCGTCACGGTGTCTCTGCATTCAAATGGCCATCGATAAAATGTGTTCGTTGTCCATAGCTTATGCCTGCCCATACCATAACCCCACTGCCACCATGGGGCACTCTGTTCACAACGTTGACATCAGCAAAACGCTCGCCCACACAACTCCATACATGCTGTCTGTCATCTGCTCAGTACAGTTGAAACCGGGATTCATCCATGAAGAGCACACTTCTCTAGCGTGCCAGTGGCCATCGAAGGTGAGCATTTTCCCACTGAAGTTGGTTAATACGCCAAACTGCAGTCAGGTCAAGACCCTGGTGAGGATGACTAGCACCAGATGAGCTTCCCTGAGACGGTTTCTGACAGTTTGTGCAAAAATTCTTCAGTTGTGCAAAACCACAGTTTCATCAGCTGTCAGGGTGGCTGGTTTCAGATGATCCCGCAGGTGAAGAAGCCAGATGTGAAGGTCCTGGGCTGGTGTGGTTACACGTGGTCTGCGGTTGTGAGGCGGGTTGATGGACTGCCAAATTCTCTAAAACGACGTTGGAGGTGGCTTATGGTAGAGAAATTAACATTAAATTATCTGGAAACAGCTCTGGTGGACATTCCTGCAGTCAGCATGCCAAATGTACGCTCCCTAAAAACTTGAGACATCTGTGGCATTGTGTTGTGTGACACATTTTAGAGTGGCCTTTTATTGTCCCCAGCACAAGGTACACCTGTATAATGTTCATGCTGTTTAATCAGCTTCTTGATATCATAAAACTCATGTCATATGCAGTCAACATTTATGATCACTATGTTTGATGTACAGTTACTAGATGACATGGCATCATAGCCTGGGTTGTTCTGAACAGAATGTGTCTATGTTTCTCTTGTGAAGAAAATGTGCCTCGGAACACGCACCTGAATGCATGCATGACCCCTTTCTATGCACACCAAAATGACGATCTGTTTCTCGGAATTGCCCTGTGATAGTCTAACATTTTAATATTGTATTTTATAGCTTAGATAGGCATGTTGGTAATAGAACAAGCTTTCAAATTTGTATTTATTATGGATCCCAAGGCAGCAGCTACTCTTCCTGGGGTCCAGCAAAATTAAGGCAGTTATACAATTTTAAAAAAATTACAATACATTCACAACAGATTTCACAACACATTAAGTGTGTGCCTTCAGGCCCCTACTCTACCAACACAAAATCCATGTGTACGTGTGTATATAGTGCGTGTGTTATCGTGTGTGTGTGTGTGTGTGTGTGTATGTATGATTCTCAACACTATGCTAGCTTATTTTGTCACATAAACTGAAATTAGGCGAACTATTAAAGTTTTAGCAACCAGGAAATGGCGGAGTGATTTCTACAGACAAAAAAAAGTCACCTAATTTCACCTTATTATTTTCGGCCGGGAAGGCTAACACGTTTTGGCACTTATTCCTTCATCAGAGATACCATTTGTATGTCTCTGAGTGCAGTTTGAAGGAAGTTAAAAGATACTTTCGCGAGCCGTTGCTCACAAGCGTTAGCGCAATGCCTGGAAGTCTAGCAGAACAGCTAGCATGCTCGCACTACCCCTTTAAACTCATACTGACCATGATCCATGTTGCCACTAGAACACTGTGGCACTGTGACCCACCTAAAGTTATTTTAGTGTTATGACCATGTCATGTTTCTAACCAGGACCCACCATTTGGTGGACATTGATTTATAATTCCCAGCACAGCTTTAGATACTGTAGGCGCTGTATCTTAGGGAACAGTTGTTGTATTGAGTGACATGTCTCTGTCTGAGGGTGTTGTTGTAGGCCCACAGACTGAAACGCAGGGGGCAGAAAGACACAGTGCCGTGTCTCACACTCCTCACCCCTCTGTCCCTCTCTTTCAGCTTCTCTCTATCTCTCTCTCCCCTCCCCTCTCTCTCCCTTTCCCTTAGCCCTCTCCCGTCTCGCTCTGTCCCTCTCTGTCAGTCTATTTCCAGTGCTAGCTGTGTCAGGCGAATAGCTCCCAGCTTGGAATGACACAAATAGGAAGACAGACTCCAATGCTCTAAGAGGGTCAGACACCAACAGAAAAAGAACAAGACACTTCAGAAAACATCAGGAACTACGGAAAAATACTGAAAACTGCTAAAGGAACCTGCTATTAACTACAAAAATGGACTCTGACATGGTGTTGACGGAGTTACAGGAGCTTCAGCATGAGTCGCCAGAGGCCGTCGCTCAGAAGGATGACGACGAGGTGGAGGAACTCAGAAACAGGTGCTTGAATTTCAGCTAAGTGCTTCACTGTCTTACTGTGCTCTGGAGCGCGCGCACACACACACACACACACTCTACAACACTAGGACAATCAGTGCTCTATTAAATCAGATCCGCTTTAGCCGACATCCGCATAGCTGTTGTTTTGGTTGTTTTTCCGGTGTCGGAGGTGGAACTGTGTTAGAGCTGTCAAATCCACAAGCGACTCCTGTCAGTATACCTAAAGCGGACATTGCCAGTGGCTGCACGGAGTCACATTACGAGAAGGCTTGTTTACAATTTCGAACACTGGATAGCGATTAGGCTGATAGAAAACCTTAATTATTTTGTTTAATGATTTTCAATTTAAGCATCATTATTTCTATATAACCTACACTTTCTCGTTCTGAACTTGGGACGGGTGTGGCTTCGTGACAATGATCAAGAGCAGCTGCTCACCAGTTTGACAGCTCCCACGCAGTTACAACTCAGACACCGCCAAAACATCAGTATGCGGGTGTCGGCTATCACCGGTTAACGCTTGATCTGATTGAATCTAGGACTTACATCATCACACAGTTTAGTGCTTTACTCTGTAATTAGGTTACCCTAACACAATTTGAACACAATACACACTCTCTTAATGCATAGTCCACCCCATAGCTCTGTACTCTATAAGTCTAACTCTACCACAGCTCATTGGTTTACTTTCGCACACTGTTTCCCATAACCTGTAATTGCTAGTCTCCACCATACCAGGATTCCCACCATACCATGGAGGCTAGCTAGCCTATATCAGGGGTACGGATTTCCGAAATGGAGTCAGGTTCACTAATACAGCTCGGTGCAACACAGTTGTCTTATACATCTCAGTGCCAAAGAGGAGTACAGGTACACCAACTACACATTTCAGTGGGGCTGAATATTGCTACTGTAGCAAAACAGATAGTTGTCCCTCAGCCCCAGACACCTCCTCTCTAATATTAACCCCATGACGTTCAGGGATACTAGCCTTCCCAGTTTTTTATGCCTTGGGCATATCTACCATTGGGTAGAGCGAGTGCTCAGTGCATGTTTAATTTTTATTTTATTTAACCTTTATTTAACCCGGTAAGCCAGTTGAGAACAAGTTCTTATTTACAACTGCGACCTGGCCAAGATAAAGCAAAGCATATGGGGTAAAACAAAACATAAAGTCAAAAATACAACAGAAAATATATATACAGTGTGTGCAAATGAAGCAAGTTATGGAGGTAAGGCAATAAATAGGCCATAGTGCAAAATAATTACAATTAGTGTTAACACTGGAATGATAGATGTGCAAGAGATGATGTGCAAATAGAGATACTGGGGTGCAAATGAGCAAAATAAATAACAATATGGGGATGAGGTAGTTGGGTGGGCTAATTTCAGATGGGCTGTGTACAGGTGCAGTGATCGGTAAGGTGCTCTGACAACTGATGCTTAAAGTTAGTGAGAGAGATAAGAGTCTCCAGCTTCAGATATTTTTGCAGTTCGTTCCAGTCATTGGCAGCAGAGAACTGGAAGGAATGGCGGCCAAAGGAGGTGTTGGCTTTGGGGATGACCAGTGAGATATACCTGCTGGAGCGCATACTACGGGTGGGTGTTGCTATGGTGACCAATGAGCTAAGATAAGGCGAGGATTTGCCTAGCAGTGATTTATAGATGGTCTGGAGCCAGTGGGTTTGGCGACGAATATGTAGTGAGGACCAGCCAACAAGAGCGTACAGGTCACAGTGGTGGGTAGTATATGGGGCTTTGGTGACAAAACGGATGGCACTGTGATAGACTACATCCAATTTGCTGAGTAGAGTGTTGGAGGCCATTTTATAAATTACATCGCCGAAGTAAAGGATCGGTAGGATAGTTAGTTTTAAAAGGGCATTTTTGGCAGCATGAGTGAAGGAGGCTTTGTTGCGAAATCGGAAGCCGATTCTAGATTTAACTTTGGATTGGAGATGCTTAATGTGAGTCTGGAAGGAGAGTTTACAGTCTAACCAGACACCTAGGTATTTGTAGTTGTCCACATACTCTAGGTCAGACCCGTCGAGAGTGGTGATTCTAGTCGGGTGGGCGGGTGCCAGCAGCGTTCGATTGAAGAGCATGCATTTAGTTTTACATGTGTTCAAGAGCAGTTGGAGGCTACGGAAGGAGTGTTGTATGGCATTGAAGCTCGTTTGGAGGTTTGTTAACACAGTGTCCAATGAAGGGCCAGATGTATACAAAATGGTGTTGTCTGCGTAGAGGTGGACCTGAGAATCACCAGCAGCAAGAGCGACATCATTGATATACACTGAGAAAAGAGTCAGCCCAAGAATTGAACCCTGTGGCACCCCCATAGAGACTGCCATAGGTCCAGATAACAGGGTAGCAGCATGTATTGCAATTGTGTTCACTGTTTCTGGCTATCAGTAAATACTACTTCATGAAATTATAAATCATTCCATCAGTGTCATACCATTTGAGTCGTTTCATGTCATTTCAGCAAGCCATGACACCCACCATTGTTCTGAAATCGTTTCTGTGATTAGAAACTGGTAAGATTGGCATTCCCGAAATCTTATTTTGTTGAAATTGTATTTGATCTCAGAAAAATTAAGCAAATTGATTGCACCCAAATTGGCCATTTTAGTTTAAAGGATATATTCAATAGATATAGTACACAACATCCGATTTGGACCAAACTTCTTCCTACCAATGAGTAAGACATGAGGAATCCAATAATATCCTCAAAAGCCACCCACGAAACCCCCACACCAGTCCCACCCCAACAACCAGTATACAATGTAGTCCTCTGTAGCTCAGCTGGTAGAGCACGGCGCTTGGAACGCTAAGGTAGTGGGTTCGATCCCCGGGACCACCCATACACAAAAAAAAAAAAAAAAAAAAAAAAAAAAAAAAAAAAATGTATGCACGCATGACTGTAAGTCGCTTTGGATAAAAGCGTCTGCTAAATGGCATATTATATATTATATTATTATACAATGTAAGTTCTCTATGTCTGACAAGTAGTATGAATATGCGGTTGTGAGTATTGTTTTGTTCATACTATGTAATGTATTCCTTGTGAATTTGGTGATGGTTATTTTCCCCTTTGCTGAGAAATATGTAATTGAAGTCTCTTGCATTATTTACCATAAATTAGTGTAAAAATACCAGGTTTTGACTACTAGATGCTGCTGTTCCTGTTATACTGCCAGACTCTTTTATCGATTTTGCTGGTCTCTTGTTTTTATTAAATAGATCACAACATTTCCTTTGCAACTTCAGCTACAAAACCAATCGATTTTGTTCATGATAAATAAATTGTGTGGTCATCCTCACAATTCAAGCCAGTCCTTCATGAAAGCGATTCAGTTTGTCCTTCTCTTAGCAAACTAATGCTTCAACCCAACTGTCCTTGAATAGACCAACAAGGCAGCCTTCTGAGAGGGCTATCCCTATGGTGAAATGAATTCTTTTTCTAGAAGACTAAAACTTTGTTGGAGAAATGGGCTAGGGACTAAAAGGTTCTAACAACCCTAATAAAATATTACAATTGTAAACCATTGCATGGCAGTCTTATATTTCCAATAACGTTATTAGAAAACAGCTCTATGTGTAGTGTGATTAGTGACATTTACCATTAAACTCAACTCAATACCATTACCATTGCAAAAGACTATAGAGTGTGTGTTTGGGGACTTTTACCATTGAAGACCACTAGCACCCTCTACCGAAGAACATTTGAATGATGCTTGACAAGGCCAATGAACACTGTGCCTCACCGGAAGCCCTGCCTTCCACAGGTGATAAACCTGAGGCACAGATTCATTACCTTGAGTTGAGCAGAACAATTTGGAACGTGAAAACTATCAGGCTTTACTCCAACTTAACTATCCCACTTAAGGTTTCTACTCACAATGTGCTTAGATCTATGTGTGTGCGTGCACTGGGTGGAGTCCGATTTTTTGGGTAACATCATACCCCACTGATTCAGACTCCCAAATAGCAACATTCACAAGGGCACGACAGAGGTTTTCTTGTTGTCTTCTCATTTGTTGTGAAAGGAAAAGAAGAGTCTCTCTTGTCTTGTTGTCTTCCCTTGCTAGCAAGTTGGCTAAACACTGCAAGCTAGCTAGCCTTTTAGCTTCCCACATCGCTATGTGAAATAATCAGATTCATAATAAAATAATATGCTCTGGCATATATTCTTATACTTGCCAGTGTAACCTACAACATTATCCCAACTTGATATGCTGCTTCAATGTATTCGCTCCCATATCAGCTAAAAATAGAATGTCATCATGTTTTGGTCACAGAGAAAAAACACATAACTCGCAGCTGTTTTTACCAATAGCCTGGAATCAATAGTTATTACTTCTAAACAAAATACATTTTGTGGGGATTCTAATAAAGCTACAATGTTGTTTGGTTTATTGTTTGAACAGATTATATTTACTTATCAATGCAAAATAGGTTACTTTGATGCATAGCCTTTAGATCAGGGCCCGGTTTTCATTTCAAGCATGTTTTTATACGTCGCTTGTTTGTATCAATTGCAAAGACATTGGCAACTTTGTATTGTAGTCAACCTTTTTTCTGAAGTTATCGGTGGTCACAAAGAAACTGCTAAACCATGTGATTCTATGTTTAGGTGAGATCTTCTGAGGGTAAAAAAGCATCTAACGATGCACCTCTGGTCTGGAGGAGGTGTAAGATTACGAGCGTTTTCAAGGTCAACGTTGATAATGATGGTTTTGGGAAACAGCTTGTAAATTTAACGATGCTCTTACAAAAGTTCTAACGATGAACTTAGCCTTAAAATTATTTTTGGAAACTGGGCCCTGATCAAGGAACCAAGTGAGCTTCATTGCCTACACAACACTGCCCCCAAGGCTACACAAGGATTGATATGGTGCATTACAATTTTCATGTGGCATGGGAGTACGTAGAATGACGGAGCACACTACAAGGAGCTGGCCCTTTTGTGACTAAAGATGTCATTGCGACGCTGTGCTACGCTCTGTAGGGTCCATAATATAATATAAATATAATTATTTCCTGCTGAATCTGTTAGTTATTCTTCTGCCTGTTTAGCCTGGCTAACTGACTGAGTAAGATGGCTAACATGACCAAAATGACGAAGACTAACAAGTCGGGTTCAGATTCAAGACCATGCCCAAATAAATTAAAAGATACTCATGTTTTGTTGTCTGGTATGTCTCGGCACATTGCATGTTCCGGCTGCCCCCGCTCGGGTCAGCTTGTGTGCAGGATGAAGGGACCGTGTAAGTAACAGTGGCTGGCACTGTTCCCCTAGTCCATGGTGCGCGCCGGTTCTCGTGGGAAACGTGTAACATTTGTATGGCTTCCTCTCACAGGTGCCCGCACCTCGGCTGGGTCTGAGTTACGGGACCCGGGGATAAATTTGAGCATTGGTCAGATCAAATATCTTGTCTGCCTGGGCTGAGGCATGCTAAAGCTACACTAGCTCAACCCGGTTGCTGTGCACCCTTTTGCAGGCTAATGGAGGCGACTTGTAGGGAGAGGGCGGCCTGGTCGCTGGGTACTCCCTGCCACCTGTGCCTGCCTCAGTCAAGCACCGTTTACCTCTCTTCCCAGACTTGGTCGATACTCCGGTCTTATGTGGACAGGATCAGGCTAGCTAAACAGTGCTGCATAGTGTGCTAGCCAGGTTAGCTGACTCGTCAAGACAAGCTAGCTAGCGTACTGCCACTGGAGATTGCTGCCTCCCATGGTCGATGTTTGTGTAGGTCTCTTGTTTAGCATATGTAGCGTTCAGTCGCTTGGTTATTCTAAACGGACCGTGCTGCGGTCAGAGAGATTCTGGAGAATAAAGGAAGACCGCATGCGGTTTCTTTTGCTAGTTCTGTGCTGGCAGAGGGCTTGGAAAGTGCTAGCCCGCGGGGATAATGCCAGGTAGCTGGCTACTGGCTTAGCAAGACTGAGAAGTTGCATGGCTGACATCAGCTAGCATATGGTAACAGTGCCTCTGTGTTTGGCTACGTTGGCCATTGCTGGAGATCCTGTACCCATAAAAGGGCCGGGCTACAGTGAATAGCGATACAGGTTATGGACTCTGTAGTCGATTGGCAATCATGCTATTATCCCACAAACAGTCTCTGTGGTTCATATGAACTCCAAGATGAGCTGTCTGTCTCTTGCTCATCGCGTTTCATTCCTGGGAATTTGATTAAATTACGAATCGCCCTGTCTGTTATCACAGATGGGGTCTGTTTTTCAGAGTTATCTGTCCTTTTATTCAATTGTTTTATCGCTTGAGCCAGGGGAGGCGTAGCTCTGCACATTTTGTTCGCATGGAACCTATTATTTGGCAGGGAATACTATTTGTAGATCAGTGATTCTACATCTCACTTTGCTCAAGCTGATCCTCTCCAAATAACTTGGAGGTTGTAGCTAAAGATTGGTAATTTAACAGTTAAAAGGGAGAGTCAGTGAAACCAACCATGGAAGTATATAGCAAATAATAGGAAATCTAAGATCTGAATATAACTTGAAAGATTAGTGTGTCAATACCCCGCTGGGACGCTTGCTGCAATGATAATAATAATATTGTAGCGAATTCAGGGGCAACTAAATTTTATTCAGTAGAGTCGACTACAGTAGAGTACAGTACAGTACAGGAAGACGTCTATGTTTGGGCCAAATAAAGGCCAGTCTGGACCAGACCATATCTGAACCAAACATAGATGGTGAAATCAAGGCTGGTCCGGATTGAACCAATAAAAGGCATCACTGTCGTTAAATGCTTAGGGATGGATCGAAATTTACAGAATGGTTACCTGGAGGAAAATGGGGGAGGGTAATGCTTTTTCAATTTCAGTCAAGGGGAGCGTTTAGTATTTATAAATCTAGTCCATGGGAGGGTCATGTAATTTGTAAATGATGAAATGGCAATGTATCTAAGTGTTTAAGAATTAGTTGCTTTTTAGGATATTTACCGATGTCTGCCCGATGCCGCCCCTCATCTCTGATTCTCCACTGGGCGCAATATCAAGTGCTCCTATAGGCTATTTACAGTAGTGTGGTCTCAATCAAATTAAGTGCATGCTCGGAAAAGCACAGAGCAAAGTTATTTTTCAAAGATACCTGCTGGGATGGTGTAAATACAACTAGGCTACATTCCACACTGCAATGGATATTCCAACCCTAAGCCCCGGCCTGTTCTGCTCTTGCTGACCCCCCCCCCCCCCCCCCAAAAAAAAAATGCTGTGCTGCCTAACCAATGGCTGTACAGGCCTACGGTGGTAGTTCAGGAGGAGAGTCAAAGGCTTCTTCCAACAAAAAAAAAGTATTGCGTGCCGGACTAGCCTATATCTGTTCAGTTTGAGAAGGAGAGCGCAAAGATGAGGACCGGAGGTCAACTTTGATAGCTTTCTACTACTATAATTTATTCTTGAGTTGCTCATGATGTATTTATCAGTGTTATTGACCTCACAATAAGCCAGATTCTAGTAACTTACATTGTGGTGCTGAAACCTGAAGCAGTAGCCGCTGCGGAAATGGACAGCTCATAGTGCTGAAAGTAGGCAAATTCAAGATCTTTCCACCCCTACTCTTGTCCACGGTGGTCTGCAAAGCCACAACCTTCTGGCCCGCAACCCTATCAAAATTCCTACATTGCCATGTAATTCTTACAAGACGAAGAACAGTTCCTAAAACTTCATGCAGTGCATTCGGAAAGAATTCAGACCCCTTTACTTTTTCCACATTTTGTTACGTTACAGCCTTATTCTAAAATGGATTAAATAGTTTTTTCCCCTCATCAATCTATACACAATACCCCATAATGACAAAGCAAAAACAGGTTTTTAGAAAATATTTTTTTCTGATCTTGGATTTCCTATTCTTTTCTATATACTTCCATGGCTGGCTTCATTAACTATGTTTCCATCAGACGCTATGTTTTCCATCTGATCTGAAATCCTGCAGCTGTATTGATTCATGTAAATGCCAGAAGTTTGATTTTGAAAATAGATTTTATTATAACTCTGGTTTCTCAAACCAACACTGACTTCTGACTATTAATGAATCTTCGTTAATAAAGTCTATATCGAACACTGATGTGTCTCTGACTGGTTATAATGTATATAGATTTGGCAGAGGTGGGCGTGTTGTCATATTCGTAAAGAGCAGCTTAAATGTTTCCCTACGCAATTTGAATGTCTAATCTTGAATGTAGGCCTTGGTAATAAAGCCCAGCTAACACTAGTAGGAATTTATCTCCCTCCCTCGGCTCCGCCTTGTGCTCTAAGGGGGGAATTACGACCATAGTTAAGCACACATAAATGGAACGTAATTCCCTTTTTATGCACTTTTCTCTCTTTCTGATCTTGAATTTAGGGTGGAGATCAAGGAAATGAAGTATGGCGGCAGTTTTGTCATAAGTATATTGCCAATGGAATCTCTGCTAATGAGCCCAGTGAACATTGTCCCATTGCCTGCATAAGAGATCAAAAGCTACCTAATAACCCACCCACGCATTATTACAAAGAGACATTTCGGGAATTTCAATTAGCAACATTTCATGTCTGATCTGGGGTTGTGTGACTGGGGGACTCGGATCAGGCCCTAAATTGGTTTGCTTCTCTGTTTAACACTGTTGCAGATACAGTGAGGGAAAAAAGTATTTGATCCCCTGCTGATTTTGTACGTTTGCCCACTTACAAAGAAATGATCAGTCTATAATTTTAATGGTAGGTTTATTTGAACAGTGAGAGACAGAATACCAACAAAAAAATCCAGAAAAACGGATGTCAAAAATCTTATAAATTGATTTGCATTTTAATAAGGGAAATAAGTATTTGACCCCCTCTCAATCAGAAAGATTTCTGGCTCTCAGGTGTCTTTTATACAGGTAACGAGCTGAGATTAGGAGCACACTCTTAAAGGGAGTGCTCCTAATCTCAGCTTGTTACCTGTAAAAAGGACACCTGTCCACAGAAGCAATCAATCAATCAGATTCCAAACTCTCCACCATGGCCAAGACCAAAGAGCTCTCCAAGGATGTCAGGGACAAGATTGTAGACCTACACAAGGCTGGAATGGGCTACAAGACCATCGCCAAGCAGCTTGGTGAGAAGGTGACAACAAGTTGGTGCGATTATTCGCAAATGGAAGAAACACAAAAGAACTGTCAATCTCCTTCGACCTGGGGCTCCATGAAAGATCTCACCTCGTGGAGTTGCAATGATCTTGAGAACGGAGAGGAATCAGCCCAGAACTACACTGGAGGATCTTGACAATGATTTCAAGGCAGCTGGGACCATAGTCACCAAGAAAACAATTGGTAACACACTACGCGGTGAAGGACTGAAATCCTGCAGCTCCCGCAAGGTCCCCCTGCTCAAGAAAGCACATATACAGGCCCGTCTGAAGTTTGCCAATGAACATCTGAATGATTCAGAGGAGAACTGTGTGAAAGTGTTGTGGTCAGATGAGACCAAAATGGAGCTCTTTGGCATCAACTCAACTCGCCGTGTTTGGAGGAGGAGGAATGCTGCCTATGACCCCAAGAACACCATCCCCACCGTCAAACATGGAGGTGGAAACATTTATGCTTTGGGGGTGTTTTTCTGCTAAGGAGACAGGAAAACTTCACCACATCAAAGGGACGATGGACGGGCCATGTACCGTCAAATCTTGGGTGAGAACCTCCTTCCCTCAGCCAGGGCATTGAAAATGGGTCGTGGATGGGTATTCCAGCATGACAATGACCCAAAACACACGGCCAAGGCAACAAAGGAGTGGCTCAAGAAGAAGCACATTAAGGTCCTGGAGTGGCCTAGCCAGTCTCCAGACCTTAATCCCATAAAAAATCTGTGGAGGGAGTTGAAGGTTTGAGTTGCAAACGTCAGCCTCGAAACCCTAATGACTTGGAGAAGATCTGCAAAGAGGAGTGGAACAAAATCCCTCCTGAGATGTGTGCAAACCTGGTGGCCAACTACAAGAAACGTCTGACCTCTGTGATTGCCAACAAGGGTTTTGCCACCAAGTACTAAGTCATTTTTGCAGAGGGGTCAAATACTTATTTCACTCATTAAAATGCAAATCAATTTATAACATTTACATTTACATGCGTTTTTCTGGATGTTGTTATTCTGTCTCTCACTGTTCAAATAAACCTACCATTAAAATGATAGACTGATCATGTCTTTGTCAGTGGGCAAACGTACAAAATCAGTAGGGGATCAAATACTTTTTTCCCTCACTGTAAGTACGCATAACTTGTCCGAAAAATTACAGGAAATACATTTTGCTTGGGCTAATGCTAAATAGACTAATACCATGTCTGACTGGCAGTCCTATAGACATTTGAGAAATACAGTGCCTTCAGAAAGTATTCATACCGCTTGACTTGTTCCTGAATTCAAAATGGATTAAATATTTTTCACCCGTCTACACACAATACCCCATAATGACAAAGTGAATGCATGTTTTTAGAAATGTTTGCAAAATTGCTGAAAAATGAAATACAAAAATATGTAATTTACATAAGTATTCACACCCCTGAGTCAATACTTTGTAGAAGCACCTTTGGCAGCGATTACAGCTATGAGTCTTTCTGGGTAAGTCTCTAAGAGTTTTCCACACCTGGATTGTGCAACATTTACCCATTTATTCTTTAACAAATTCTTCAAGCTCTGTCAAATTGATTGTTGATCATTGCTAGACAACCATAGATTTTCAAGCAGATTTAAGTTAAAACTGTAACTCGGCCACTCAGGAACATTCACTGTCTTCTTGGTAAGCAACCAGTGTAGATTTGGCCTTGTGTTTTAGGTTATTGTCCTGCTGAAAGGTGAATGAATCTCTCATTGTCTGGTGGAAAGTAGACTGAACAAAGTTTTCCACTATGATTTTGCCTGTACTCAGCCCCATTCCGTTTATTTTTTATCCTAAAAAACTCTCCAGTCCTTAACGATTACAAGCATACCAATAACATGGAGCAGCCACCACTATGCTTGAAAATATGGAGAGTGGTACTCAGTAATGTGTATTCAGGACAAAAAGTTAATTGCTTTGCCACATTTATTGCAGTATTACTTTAGTGCCTTGTTGCAAACAGGATGCATGTTTTGGAAAAATTGTTATTCTGTAGAAGCTTTCTTCTTTTCACACTGTCAATTAGGTTAGTATTGTGGAGTAACTACAATGTTGTTGATCCATCCTCAGTTTTCTCCTATCACAGCCATTAAACTCTGTAACTGTTTTAAAGTCACTATTGGCCTCATGGTAAAATCCCTGAGCGGTTTCCTTCCTCTCTGGCAACTGAGTTAGGAAGGACGCCTGTATCTTTGTAGTGACTGGGTGTATTGATACACCATCCAAAGTGTAATTAATAATGTCACCATGCTCAAAGGGATATTCAATGTCTGCTTTTTTATTTTTACCAATCTACTAATAGGTGCTGTTCTTTGTGAGGCATTGAAAAACCTCCCTGGTGTCTGTTCTTGACAAGCAGCGTGTCAGAGATTATTGCATTGAACAAACACCTCCGATCTGGTCCTCTGTGCAGTATGCGTTAAATGTGAACACGACAGCTGACATCTGTGGGATAACTGCAAACATAGAAATACACACAACAGAACTACCAACATACAAATACACCCAAATACCCAACAAAACAAAATACACCCTGGCTCAAATACAAAAGTCCCGGAGCCAGAGTGTCACAGTACCCCCCCCTAAAGGTGCGACCTCCGGGCGCACCAACATACAGTCTAGGGGAGGGTCTGGGTGGGCGTCTGTCCACGGTGGCGGTTCTGGCCCTGGTCGTGGTCCCCACCCCACCTTAGTCACTATCCGCTTCCGTAGCCTCCTCCACATGACCACCCCCCAACTAAACCCCACTGGATTAAGGGGCGGCACCGGACTAAGGGGCAGTACCGGACTAAGGGGCAGCACCAGGATAAGGGGCAGCACCGGGCTAAGGGACAGCACCAGACTCAATGGCGGATCCTGGCTGGCTGGCTCTGGCGGATCCTGGCTGGACGGCTCTGGCGGATCCTGGCTGGACGGCTCATGGCCGGCTGAAGGATCTGGCTGCTCATGGCTGACTGACGGATCTGGCTGCTCATGGCTGGCTGACGGATCTGGCTGCTCATGGCTGGCCGACGGATCTGGCTGCTCGTGGCTGGCCGACGGATCTGGCTGCTCATGGCTGGCTGAAGGATCTGGCTGCTCATGGCTGGCTGAAGGATCTGGCTGCTCATGGCTGGCTGACGGATCTGGCTGCTCATGGCCGGCTGACGGATCTGGCTGCTCATGGCTGGCGGAAGGCTCTGGCTGATCCTGTCTGGCGGAAGGCTCTGGCTGATCCTGTCTGGCGGAAGGCTCTAGCGGCTCCGGTCTGGCGGACGGCTCTGACGGCTCATGGCAGACGGGCGGCTTTGCAGGCTCAGTCCAGACGGCCAGTTCAAACGCCTTAGGGCAGACGGGCAGTTCAGGCCCCGTTGGGCAGACGGCAGACTCTGGCCGTCTGAGGCGCACCGTAGGCCTGATGCGTGGTGCCGGAACTGGAGGTACCGGGCTGAGGACGCGCATCTCAGGGCTAGTGCGGGGAGAAGCAACAGGGCATGCTGGACCCTGGGAACGCACATAACGCCTAGTGCGGGGAGAAGGAACAGGGCATGCTGGACCCTGGGGACGCACATAAGGCCTAGTGCGGAGAGCCGGAACAGGGCATGCTGGACCCTGGGGACTCACATAACGCCTAGTGCGGGGAGAAGGAACAGGGCATGCTGGACCCTGGGGACGCACATAACGCCTAGTGCGGGGAGAAGGAACAGGGCATGCTGGACCCTGGGGACGCACATAAGGCCTAGTGCGGAGAGCAGGAACAGGGCATGCTGGACCCTGGGGACTCACATAACGCCTAGTGCGGAGAGCCGGAACAGGGCATGCTGGACCCTGGGGACTCACATAACGCCTAGTGCGGAGAGCAGCAACAGGACGCACAGGACTCGGGGAACACACAGGAGGCTTGGTGCGTGGTGTAGGCACTGGTGGTACTGGGCTGGAGCGGGGAGGTGGCGCCGGAAATACCGGACCGTGCAGGCTTACTGGCCCCCTTGAGCACTGAGCCTGCCCAACCTTACCCGGGTTGATGCTCCCCGTCGCCCGACCAGTACGGGGAGGTGGAATAACCCGCACCGGCCTATGTGGGCGAACCGGGAACACCATGCGTAAGGCTGGTGCCATGTACGCCGGCCCGAGAAGACGCACTGGTAGCTGGATGCGTTGGGCCGGCTTCATGACATCTGGCTCAATGCTCACTCTAACCCGGCCGATACGTGGAGCTGGAATGTGTCGAACCGGGCTATGCCTGCGTACAGGAGACACCATGCGCTCTACTGCGTAACACGGTGTCTGCCCGTACTCTCGCTCTCCACGGTAAGTCCAGGGAGTAGGCGCAGGTCTCCTACCTGACTTCGCCACACTCCCTTTAAGCCCCCCCCCAATAAATTTTTGGGTAGTACCCACGGGCTTCCAGCCTTGACTCCGTGCTGCCTCCTCATACCGCCTCCTCTCGGCTTTAGCTGCCTCCAGCTCTTCACGAGGGCGGCGATACTCTCCCGGTTGTGCCCAAGGACCCTTTCCAGCCAGTATCTCCTCCCATGTCCATGAATCCTTTATAGGCGTCCATGAATCCTTAGGCGCAGGGTCCCGTTGCCGCTTGACACGCTGCTTGGTCCTATGATGGTGGGTTTTTCTGTCACGAGGGTCGATGTCGTCTAAATATGACCAAGGCGCAGCGTGTCCAAGAAACATGACTTTATTGATTCAAAGTCTGGAACAAAACAACAAACCAAGACCGATACGTGAAGTCCTCTGCAACACTGACAGAACTAAGAACAAAAACCCACAATTCCCACCGGAAAACATACAGATTAAATATGGCTCCCAATCAGAGACAACGAGCCGACAGCTGACACTCGTTACCTCCGATTGGGAGTCATAGACCAAACCTAAAAAGAACCCCACAGAACTGCAAACATAGAAATACACACAACAGAACTACCAACATAGAAATACACCCAAATACCCAACAAAACAAAATACACCCTGGCTCAAATACAAAAGTCCCGGAGCCAGAGTGTCACACCTGGTCTTTGTGGTTGAATCTGTGTTTGAAATTCACTGCTTGATTGAGGGCTTACAGATAATTGTACGTGTGGGGTACAAAGATGAGGTAGTCATTAAAAAAACATGTTAAACACAATTATTGCAGACTGAGTGAGTCTATGCAACTTATTATGTGACTTGTTAAGCACAGTTTTACTCCTAAACTTATTTAGGCTTGCCATAACAAAGGGGTTGAATACTTATTGGCTCAAGACATTTCAGCTTTTTATTAATTTGTAAAACTTTTGAAAAACATAATTCCACTTTGACATTTTGGGTTATTGTGTGTAGGCCAGTGACAAAATATATAAATGTAATCAATTTAAGTTCAGACTAACACAACAGAAAAAGTCATGGGGTGTGAATACTTTCTGAAGAAACTGTAGATGTCTATCTTTGGTTTGAAAATCTAAGTCAACTTACTGTACTTCTTGAACTGTGCATCTGAGAATAGTAGGAATCCAGCAAACTTCTGGAAAGTACTTAAATCTCAGAAAACCTAGCTAAAAAACATTAGCTGACATGGGCTAGTTGATCTGGACATTTCTGACAAGTTATAAATAGCTCTCTAAGGTATGCAATGACTGACATGACAAGAGGAAAACTGATGACCAATTTCTAAATTGCATCTTGTGCATACTACTATTACAACTTTCAAGAGTAAGTTGAAAGCCCAACTGAGTTCAGCTCAGAGAACATATCGTCTGATGGAAACATAGTTAATGAACCCCGTGCCTCACTTCCTGCCCCACGGGCATGCCCCACAGTTTGGGAACCACTGCCTTAATAGACTAAATGGACATTTGTGGTTCTTTTAATAACCATTTTGCCTCAGCTGGCCATCTATTTGAAAGAATAGTTTCTAGAAATTCTTCTAATTCCTAATTAGAGGGAGTCCTTTATTCCCCTCGAAACAGACTTTAGAGAATGATGCACTCCCAAATAAACATTCTCTATTTTCATTTCATTTTATATAAATGATGTACTAAGTGCCTTGCTAAAAAATCCACAGGGGCTGATTCTCTTGATCCCTTCTTACTGCAGCTCTCTGCCCCACACCTCCCGAGTGGCGCAGTGGTCTAAGGCACTGCATCGCAGTGCTAGCTGTGCCACTAGAGATCCTGGTTCAAATCCAGGCTCTGTCGTAGCTGGCCGTGACCGGGAGACCCATGGGGCGGCGCACAGTTGTCCAGGGTAGGGGAGGGAATGGCCGGCAGGGATGTAGCTCAGTTGGTAGAGCATGGCGTTTGCAACGCCAGGGTTGTGGGTTTGATTCCCACGGGGGGCCAGTCTAAAAAATAATGTATGCACTCACTAACTGTAAGTCGCTCTGGATCAGAGCGTCTGCTAAATGACGTAAATGTAAATTGCAGAATCATTAGCCTATATGTTTTACATGACAATTGTTTCTGGTGTTATCCCTAAGATCTGGAAAGCGGCACATGTCCTCCCCCTACACAACGGAGGAGATCATTTTGACTTAGATAAGTTATCGTGCATTTCCAAAGTTTTAGAATCTGGCCAACTCTCAGCTAAGAACATTTTTAACTTCTCATTCAATTCTAAATGTGCACCAGTCTGGTTTTAGACCCGGACATAGCACCGCTTCAGCTGCTACGCTTGTTCTATATGATGTGTTAAATTGCTTAGATCATAAAAACCATTGTGCTGCCTTATTTATAGACCTTTCCAAGGCCGTCGACACTGTTAACCATTACGTTCTCATTCAAAGACTGACTTGACTAAAATAGGCCTGTGTAACCCTCTCACCAGGCTCGAATTTGACACTCACGATATTACCTTACTTAGAATATCTGAACTGCATGGGATTTTAAGTGAGATGGACATCTCCAATAAGAATCCCTATTGTAAACTCACTAGGGTGAATGACAAATAGGGTATTAACTTCAGATAAAATGATTATAGACTTGGTTATTATTATAAGGATATGCTTTCCCATGCATTCAATGAAACTGAAACAGTAAATGACTCCACCAATACAACAGACATAAGGTTCAAGATCTATATTATCACATTTTCAATGTACCACATCAAAATAAATAAAAATAATAAACCCCAATGATTTTTCCACAAACCATGTCCAAATTATTTGCAAGCTTGCTTAAACCCTGGGTGCGAGTTGAAGCTAAAAAAAATTACAACATACATAAAGTCCCGAAGTCCACCCCACATTTGTAGTTACTCACTACTTGTAGATAATACCTCAGCAAAGTATAGCAGTTCCGTGCAGGTGTCCTCACAAAAGATCCACAACTCCGTAGAAGCAACAGACATCCCGTGGAAACCCGAACTCGTTGATCGTCACAAGCAATTCTCTACAAGTCTCACGATGCTAGGCTAACCTCTAGGATGTCAAATGTCTCCACAATGCGACGGCAGCTTTAGTCTCCACTAAGTCTTTCTTAATGAAATAATAACACTCTCTTATAGAAATAAAATCAGGATTTCCCTTAAAAAAACTCTGTAGGTATGGTTTTGTTCTCTCTTTATCGTTTCCTTTGGTCGTTTTCCTTCACCAACCCCACTAACGTCTCTCCTCTCCCTTCTTTCAACCCCCCCCCCCCCCCCCCCCCCCCCCCCCAACCAACCTATTCACTTGTACATTTTTTTAAACATTGCTTCAAAATAAATGCATTAATGACATTACAAATCAGGAGCTATTCGATCACCTTTTAAATCTAATACCAATTAATTATAACAAATAAACTCTATACTTGGTGTTAGCAAGGGTATTACACCTGGATCAGGCTTCTTGCAAGTAGTTAGATAATTATCTGTGATAGGACACAATGTGTGCTTTATGATGTTGTCAAATCTAGTTTCCTGGACATTACAAAAGGTGTACCGCAGGGGTCTGTATTGGGACCTGTTCACTTTACTATTTATATAATAATATTAGTCTATCTGTTAAAACGTGTAATATTAATCAATATGCAGACACTTATGTATGCCATTGCTCCATCTCCTGACCAGGCTATGTTAGAGCTGCAATCTGACCTTGTTTCCTTACAGAAAGCTGGTTGGTTTAAAACTTGTACTTAATGCGGACAAGACTAAATTCATGCTACTCCCATCAATCCGGTTCCCGCATATTGACAAAGATTGAATGACAAAACATATGGATGAGCTAGTTAGTTCGTTATTTAAAGTGGGCTTCTCTTTTCTTAAATAGATCTCGCTTCTCCCTAAATAGCAGAAAGCAGATTGTACAGTCAACTTTCCTGCCAGTTCTTGACTATGGTGACACCATTTACCAGATTGCAGCAGCCACTACTCTTAAAGCTTCGGATGCCGTCTACCATAGTACCCTTCACTTTATCACAGGTGACAGTTTTAATACATCTTCGCTGTTAAAATATAAAAACATGAGATACCAAACCTGTTCAAGGTTGGTTAACATTTGAGGTTCCTCGGCTCTCCACCGAACTAGGTAAAATCCACTTTTAGCTTTAAAGCACCTCATTGCTGGAACCATATGCAAAATGCATTACAATTGGATGTTCTGGTCCAGCTCGGGAAAATTAAAATATTGATTAGGGACTTCTTACTGAGGAATATAATTGTCTTTCTTGAATATTTGTGTTGTGCTGTATTTTACTTGTTTTATGTTGTATTTGATTTTTGAGCTTGTCTAATAAAATTGTATATGCAGGGCTCCCTTGTGAAAGAGACCCTGGTCTTAATGGTGACTCCCTGCTTAAATAAAGGTCAAATATATAAAATTAACTTTTTATTGACATTTAGAAAGTTTGCACAGAAAATAGATGTGACAAATGTCTGCTACGGTGCGATTCCGTTGAACTGTTTTGTGTCAATAAAAACAGCTGGATGTAATGACGTCCCACCAAAAAAAATAATAATAATAACAACGAAATGGTTGAAGTGTTTCCATTATCCATTTAGGCACACTGCGCATTAATACATTTGTGACAGCTTGTATGCCCTTCCACCTATCTGTTTAATGTCTGAGGTAGCCCACAAAAGTCAACATGGATAGAATGCAAGAAGTGACTAATATTTTAATAATTCTCCTGTGCCAACGTATCGCCACGGTCCGTGCCATGGTTAAACGTGCACTCCTGTAGACTTGAAATAATTGGATGGTGAAACTTGATTCCAGCCAACCAGAGAAGCAATTCAGACATCTTGAAAGTCAAGATAATCCTTGTACTGCAAATAAATATTATTTTTATAGTTGAAAAAATGTATATATTTTTTTCCTTTTTATTATTGTTATTATTATTAATATATAGATATTTTTTGTTACCCCCTTTTTCTCCCCAATTTTGTGGTATCCAATTGGTAGTTACAGTCTTGTCCCATCGCTGCATTAAGCATTTATAAAGGTGGAGGGGAGCTTTATAGTTAGATGCGTTATGACATCATGTACCTTAAAAATTATTCGGCAATCATCATTTATTTGAAAAACAGTTTCCATCATCATTTGTCGCAATAAAGGGTAACACTTTATTTGGATACATCTGTAGATGCTCTACATAATATCTACAGACTATCAGTGACATTTCAACTAACTATCTACTAACCCTTACCTTAACCCTTACCCTAACCCTAAACTTAACCCTTACCCTTATTCTAAACCTTACCCTAATCCTAATCATAACCTTAGCAAGCATTTACCTATCAACAGATAGTCAGTTTCTTATCAACAGATAGTTTATTGATAGTATGTAGAGCATCTACTATCCAAGTGTGACCCAATAAAGAAAGTTTGACAAAAGAAAAATCAAACCCTGTTGAACAGATAAAAATGTTGTTGATCTTTAGAACATTTATCCTATAACTGCCATTTCCATTACACATCCAACTGGGCACAGACATCTATTCAACGTATATTCTACGTTGGTTCAACAATGTGGAAACAACGTTGATTCAACCAGTGTGTGCCCAGTGGGATGTTGCTTTTGTTGAATAAACCTGGGTCAATGGAAACCTGCCTATTGACTCTCCCCTTTGAATGTGCCTAATTTACCAATTTTTAGCTACAACTTCTGAGTCTGTTGGAGAGGATCAGCTTGAGCAAAGTGAGGTGTAGAATCATAGATCTAGAAATATTATTCCCTGCCAAATAATAGGTTTTGTGTAATCAAGATTCGCAGAGCTACGCCTCCTTTGGGTCAGGCGATACCCCCGCCAAACACACGCACACAACCAGACATTAATTGATTGATTGGAGTCAGCTTGTGTCAATTACAGAACATTTCTTAGGATTTTCTACCTGCAGCGTCACTAGCAGGATAAAGCTGGAAATACTGGTAAAAGCACAGTGCCTCATTATATGGACCAAAAAGCAGGGCCCTAGTTATAAACGGATCACCTATCTGCGCAAATGACACACACACACCCATGCGCTCATTGACTTTATACACACTTCAAGTTCGCAATCTTCCTCAGTTCTAAACTCATTACTCCCACACTCATCACTCATCACACACACATACATGCACGCACACACACTACAGGTTGATGCACACTTCTCCAGTTATCAAGCTGTGAAGCGGTTGAGGTAATCAATGTGAGTTTTTTTTCTCACAGTTTGCTCTGACCGGAGTACCCCTGAAGTACCCCCACATGTGCATTTCACTTGTAGGCCTATGTTATTATGTGTTCCCAAGTACCCCCTGTGAGAACCACTGATCTAACTCATGTCACTGCCTGTTCCTTTCTTCAGTCTGCTGGAGGTGGTCCAGGACCAGTCTGTGAAGCCCAAGCTGCAGTGTCTGATAGTGGACCCGTCCTTCTCCATGGTGACAGTTCAGCGTGAGGACAGCGGCATAGTCTGGGAGACGGCCTCCAGCCGATGCTCCACCCCCTGGGCATCGGAGGCCAGCTACAGCTCTGACACCTACAGTTTGGACGGCTCTGCTACTGGCGGTGGCGGTGCGCAGGGCAAAATCACCATTGTCTTCGATGAGGACAAGATAGTTCGGAGGAGGAAGAGGACGAGAGGGAAGGGCAGGCTGGGGGAGAGGCTAAGGAGACCCGGGAGCTCCAGGTCTGGCTCGACACTGGGGGTGGAGAGGCCCGAGATGGCTGAGGTGTCTGTGCCCAACATCCGAGTGGAGAGTGTAGAGTCAGACACAGAGTCAGGGGAAGTGAAAGACAAAGAGCAGGAGCTGTTTAGTCTGATCTCAGAGGGTTATGAGATCCTCAACATCAAAGTCCCGTCCAAACTGCCCACGGTGGACGAGGAGGAGAACACTGAGCTGCAGGATAACCTGTCCTACTTGGAGGAGACACCCAGGATCAGGTCCAAATCCAGACGGGGCTCTGAGGCCTTGCCTGCCCAGGACCACCCAGAAATGGAGGAGGTACAGGAGGGCACAGAAGGAGAAGAAGTAGGAGAGTCTAAGCCCTCAGAACCCACAGAGCAACAGGGGCCTCGCAGCCGCAAGGACGGCACCAGCGACATGGACTACTTTGAGGCGTTTACCCTGCTGGATGAGGAGGTGCCTGGGCAGCAGGCTCCGGAGCCAGTGGGAGACGAGGCACACACAAAGCCACAACGAGAGGAACCTAATCTAGGGCAGAAGACAGCCACAGACAGCCTCTCTGCAGCTCCGGACGATGACTTTGTGTTTGTCACAGACATGGAGATTGCCAGCGAGCGTCTGGATGAGGTGTTCTACGGGAACAAACACCATGCACCCCCAGAGGACCTGACGAAACGGGGAGAAGAGGATGACGAGGAGAGAGGGAAGAAAGGTAGAAGGGAGAGTCTGAGGTCTCTGAAGGAGAGTGGGTCAGCACTGTTCAGCAGAGAGGAGAGCATCCTCACCCCCATCTTCCTCTCCCCGGGACCCCCTAAGATCATTGATCCCATCCTGCTAGAGGAACCCACAGCCATGTCCTTCCTCTACTCCGACCTGTACGAGGATGCCATGGGGGAGAAGGGGAGGAGCGACGAGGAAGGCTCAGAGGCAGAGTGCGTAGCGTCGGACAGATCGTTCCAGAGGCGACTGTCTGATTCAGAGGAAACAGACGGATACCTGGAGAAGTTTATCCTGAAAGACGAGACTCCCAATGTGGAGGACCAATCAGAAGAAGCGGATGGTCAAGGGGAGGGGCTAATGATGTGGTCGCAGAGTAAGTTTGAGCTGACCGGATTCCTAACGAGAGTGGTGGAAGAAGAAGAAGAGGAGAAGGAGGAGGTCAAAGCTGCAGAGATTAATGGGTACCTGCAACCAGCAGGATATAAAGAGATGGACGAATCAACAGAGATGGAGGAATCAACAGAGATGGAGGAATCAACAGAGATGGAAGAATCAACAGAGATGGAAGAATCAACAGAGAAATCTTTGCTGCAGATCAAGGGAACTGGTCCTGTTAAAGACTCTGAGTCTGTAAATACAGACAGCAAAGTGTCTCAGGTTGAGAAGGACCATCTAGTCACAGGAAAGAAACCTGAGAAGGTTGATGTGGTAGAGGAAGCTAAAAGTGAGACAACAACTGGGGCACATGAGTCAGAGGTTGACAGACAGGAGGAGGTAGTGTCAGATAAAGTATCCCATGAAACAGAGCTACTAGCTCAGGCACAGGAGGTGGAAACATTAGAGGAAGTAGAAGAGTCTAGAGTGGTGAAACCAGCTGTAATTCAGGAGCCTGTGGTTGTACAGGTGAACCAGGTGACAACTGAAAGTAAAACAGAGACTGTAGTTAAAGCATCTGAACCTGTAAGAGCAGAGGATGCTATTAAAGATCCAACTGAAGCCATAGCAGGAGCACAGGAGCTACACAGGGTGTCTCAAAAGGCACTTACTGATTCATCAGAAGTAGTTATGGCGAAAGTATCAGATGATACTAAAACGGCATCTGAAATTGCAGCTGAAGCAATCAATAGAATGGAAATGCTAGCTCAAGCACACAAAGTTGAAAAAGTAGAGAATAGATCTGAGGAGCCTGTGAGTGTAGCGGAGGAGGCCTTCCCCAGTGTCACACACAATCTTGAAGCAGAAGTAGTTCCAACTGCCCCTCCTGCAGAAGCTGCGGAGCGGTGGTCATCACCTCTAGCCCCTGCTGAGGGAGATGAGGGACAGGAGGAAGAGCCAATGAGGAAGCAGGACTTGGAAGGTGAGGATGAGTGGGTGTTCACTCCCCTCAGGAGCTTCGCTCCACAGGAAGACCTCTCTAAGCTGCACAGAGAAACTGTGGTTTCAGAGATGGAGCTGCACACTGAGGCTGGGGTCCCAGAGAGAGAGCTGCACAGGGAGACTGCAGTGGAGCTGGAATATGAGATGATCTCGCAGCAGGAGGCAAGAGAGATGCTGGTGTCTGAGACAGAGAGAAAAAAGCTGTGCCCAGGCCCTTACTCTGATCTAGAGAGAGAGAGGGAGCTGGAGCAAGAAAAGGAGAGAGAGATGGAGTTGGAGAGGGAGAGAAAGAAGCAGAGGCTGAAGGAGGAGGAGAGACAGGAGAGGGAGGAGAAGGAGAGACAGGAGAAAGAGAAACCGATGGGGTTGGAGAGAGAAAGAGAAATGGAGAGGCTAAGGCTGAAGGAGGCAAAGGAGAGACAGGAGATGGAGAGGAAGGAAAAGGAGAGACAGGAGAAGGAGAGACAGATGGAGTTGGAGAGGGAGAGAGAAAGGGAGAGGCAGAGGCTGAAGGAAGAGAAAGAAAGACAGGAGATGGAGAGACAGATGGAGTTGGAGAGGGAAAGAGAAAGAGAAAAGGAGAGGCAGAGGCTGAAGGAGGAGAGGGAGAGACAGATAGAAAAGGAGAGGCAGAGACTGAAGGAAGAGAAAGAGAGGGAGGAGAGGGAGGAGAAGAAGAGACAGGAGAATGAGAGACTGGAGAGGGAAGAGAAGGAGAGACAGGGGAGAGAAAGGAAGAGGGAGAAGGAGAGAGAAAGACAGCTAGAATTAGAAAGGGAGAGAAAAGAGGGAGAGGCAGAGGCTGATGGAGGAGAAGGAGACACAGGAGAAGGAGAGGAAGGAAAAGGAAAGACAGGAGAAGGAGAGGAAGGAAAAGGAGAGACAGGAGAAGGAGAGGAAGGAAAAGGAGAGACAGGAGAGGGAGAGACAGATAGAATTGAATAGGGAGAGAGAAAGGGAGAGGCAGAGGCTGAATGAGGAGAAGGAGAGACAGGTGAGGGAGAGACAGGAGAGGGAGAGACAGATGGAGTTGGAGAGGGAGAGAGAAAGGGAGAGGCAGAGGCTGAAGGAGGAGAGGAGAGACAGATAGAAAAGGAGAGGCAGAGACTGAAGGAAGAGAAAGAGAGACAGGAGAGGGCGGAGAAGGAGAGGAAGGAGAGAGATGAGAAGGAGAGACAGGAGAGAGAGAGACAGATAGAATTGGAAAGGGAGAGAGAAAAGGAGAGGCAGAGGCTGAAGGAGGAGACGGAGGAGAGGGAGAGACAGATAGAAAAGGAGAGGCAGAGACTGAAGGAAGAGAAAGAGAGACAGGAGAGGGCGGAGAAGGAGAGGGAGGAGAGAGAGGAGAAGGAAAGACAGGGAGAGAGAGACAGATAGAATTGGAAAGGGAGAGAGAAAAGGAGAGGCAGAGGCTGAAGGAGGAGAGGGAGGAGAGGGAGAGACAGATAGAAAAGGAGAGGCAGAGACTGAAGAGAGAAGAAGACAGGAAGAGACAGGACGAGGGACGGAGAAGGACAAGGAAGGGAGGAGAACAGGAGACAGAAGAGACAGATAGACTTGGCAAAGGAGAGAGAAAGGCGAGGCCCCGAGGTGATCAGGGAGGGAGGGAGGGAGGGAGAGACAGATAGAAAAGGAGAGGCAGAGAATGAAGGAAGAGGCAAGAGATACCGGAGAGGGCGGAGGGAGAAGGAGAGGGGGAGAGAGATGAGAAGGGAGGACAGGAGGAGAGAGACAGATGAGAGACAAGATTAGAATTGGAGAGGGAGAAAGAAAGGGAGATGCAGAGGCTGAAGAAGGAGACGGAGGAGAGGGAGAGACAGGATATGGAGAGACAGATGGAGAGGGAGAGAGAAAAGGACAGGCAGAGGCTGAAGGAAGAGAAAGAAAAACAGGAGAGGGAGAAGGAGAGACTGGAGAGGGAGGAGAGGGAGGAGAGAGAGAGAGAAAGGGAGAAAGAGATTGAGAGGCTGAAGGAAGTGAAGGAGAGGGAGGAGAAGGAGAGGGTGGAGAGGGAGAGGGAGGAGAGGGAGGAGAATGAGAGAGCGAGAGAAAGGGAAAGGGAGAGGCAGATGCTGAAGGAGGTGAAGGAGAGACAGGAGAGGGAGGAAAAGGAGAGAGTGAGGGAGAGGCAGGAGGAGAAGGAGAGGCATGAGAGGGAGAGGCAGAAGGAGGAGAAGGAGAGGCATGAGCAGGAGCGACAGATGGAGTTGGAGAGGGAAAGAGAAAGGAAGAGGCTGAAGGATGAGAAGGAGAGGGAGAAGAAGGAGAGTCAGAAGAGAGAATGGAAGGAAATACAGGAGAACGAGAGAGAAAGAGACATGCAGGGGGGTGAGAAGGAAAGACAGGCGAGGGAGATGGAGTTGGAGAGGGAGGGAGAACATCAGAAGGAAAGGGTGAGAGAAAACATCTTGAGGGATATGGAGAGGCAGAAGGAGCGAGAGATGGAGGACAGGGTAAGAGAAGAGAGAGGGCTGGATCTGCCCGCTTACGAGGAGCCCATTGAGGCTGACTATGAGATATTTGATGCGGAGGAGGAGAGCCAGGCCAGAGCAGCTGCTGCCCTACAGGGGATGGATTGCTTCTGTCTGGGCTGTGGTTGTCTGCTCTCTAAGACTGACATACTGTCTGGAGGACATCAGGATCATGAGGTCACCAGCGTGGAAACAGCCTACGAAGACATGAGGGTGAGTGACAAAGTTAGATGTTAGTGGATAGTATACACTATTCATACCACCCCATGTCACAATTCAGGTAATTCTTTATTGTGTGTCCCTTCCTGGACATTTTTCTTGCATCTTAAACTCAACAGCACAGCATCACCACATATAGTGCATTAATACATAAATGCATACAACAGTGTAAATCACGAGCAATATACAACTAGAAACAACACTTGTGGATCAGACCTGGGTTCAAATACTATTTCAGGTATTTCATTACTTTTCAATAAAATAAAGTATTAACATAACCTTTATTTGAAAGAACAAGTACAGTGGGTATCACAAGTATTCACCCCCTTGGATTTTTTCACATTTTGTTGTGTGACAAAGTGGGATTGAAATGGATTTAGTTGTGATTTTTTTTTTGTCAACTACAAAGACCAGGGAGCTTTTCGAAAGCTTCATAAAGAAGAGCAGTGATTGGTAAATGGGTAACAATAACAAATCAGACATTGATTAATCGTGGAGGGGTACGGTCCTGAAGAGCGGTGCTGGGTTCCGGCGCGGAACGTCCTGGATCGTTCTCTCATTCAGGACATCCACAGGCATCGTCCCCCACCGAGGCGCTGCTCCAGCAGTGGGGCGCCACCGACCTTGGGGATGACCCCGGAGACGCGGTGCGGGTCGGTCGGGATGATGCCTGTGGATGTCCTGAATGAGAGAACGATCCAGGACGTTCCACGCCGGAACCCAGCACCGCTCTTCAGGACCGTACCCCTCCCAGTCGACCAGGTACTGGAGAAGCCCCCCACGATTCCGTGAGTCCAACAGCCTGCGAACGGAGTACGCCAGGGCCCCCTCAACGTCCAAGGGAGGGGGAGGTGCATCGTGGGGTCCAGCACTAGCCAAGGAACCAGCTGCCACCGGCCTCAAATCAAATCAAATCAAATCAAATCAAATTTTATTGGTCACATGCGCCGAATACAACAGGTGCAGACATTACAGTGAAATGCTTACTTACAGCCCTTAACCAACAGTGCATTTATTTTAAACAAAAAAGTAAGAATAAAACAACAACAAAAAAGTGTTGAGAAAAAAGAGCAGAAGTAAAAAATAAGTGACAGTAGGGAGCTATAGATACAATAGAATAAAGTGACAGTAGGGAGGCTATATATACAGGGGGGTACCGTTGCATAGTCAATGTGCGGGGGCACCGGCTAGTTGAGGTAATATGTACATGTGGGTAGAGTTAAAGTGACTATGCATAAATACTTAACAGAGTAGCAGCAGCGTAAAAGGGATGGGGTGGGGGGGGCAGTGCAAATAGTCCGGGTAGCCATGATTAGCTGTTCAGGAGTCTTATGGCTTGGGGGTAGAAGCTGTTGAGAAGTCTTTTGGACCTAGACTTGGCACTCCGGTACCGCTTGCCGTGCGGTAGCAGAGAGAACAGTCTATGACTAGGGTGACTGGAGTCTTTGACAATTTTGAGGGCCTTCCTCTGACACCGCCTGGTATAGAGGTCCTGGATGGCAGGGAGCTTTGCCCCAGTGATGTACTGGGCCGTACGCACTACCCTCTGTAGTGCCTTGCGGTCAGAGGCCAAGCAGTTGCCATACCAGGCGGTGATGCAACCAGTCAGGATGCTCTCGATGGTGCAGCTGTAGAATTTTTTGAGGATCTGAGGACCCATGCCAAATCTTTTTAGTCTCCTGAGGGGGAATAGGCTTTGTCGTGCCCTCTTCACGACTGTCTTGGTGTGTTTGGACCATGATAGTTCGTTGGTGATGTGGACACCAAGGAACTTGAAGCTCTCAACCTGTTCCACTACAGCCCCGTCGATGAGAATGGGGGCGTGCTCAGTCCTCTTTTTTTTCCTGTAGTCCACAATCATCTCCTTTGTCTTGGTCACGTTGAGGGAGAGGTTGTTGTCCTGGCACCACACGGCCAGATCTCTGACCTCCTCCCTATAGGCTGTCTCATCGTTGTCGGTGATCAGGCCTACCACTGTTGTGTCGTCGGCAAACTTAATGATGGTGTTGGAGTCGTGCCTGGCCATGCAGTCATGGGTGAACAGAGAGTACAGGAGGGGACTGAGCACGCACCCCTGAGGGGCCCCCGTGTTGAGGATCAGTGTGGCAGATGTGTTGTTACCTACCCTGAGGAGAGATACATGAATTGAGGGTGAGATACAGTAATTGACAGGGAGCTGTAATCTTTACGTCACCTCATTGACTCTCATCAGGACTTTGAACGGTCCCACAAACGGCAAGCTCAGCTTCCGGCAGGGCAGGCGGAGGGGCAGGTCCTGATTTACCCTTTCCACCTGCCCATTAGATTGGGGACGGTACCCGGAGGTGAGGCTGACCGTGACTCCCAGTCGTTCCATGAAGGCCTTCCAGACACGGGAGGTGAATTGAGGACCACGGTCAGACACGATGTCCTCCGGGATCCCGTAGTGCCGGAAGACGTGAGAGAAGAGAGCCTCCGCATTCTGCAGGGCCATAGGGACACCAGGCAGATTAATCAAACGACAGGCTTTGGAAAACCGGTCCACAACGAACAGCATGGTGGTGTGCCCCTCCGAGGGGGGAAGGTCTGTGACAAAGTCTGCGGAGAGATGGGACCAGGGTCATTGTGGAACCGACAGCAGGTGGAGTTTGCCATAGGGGACGTGTCTAGGTTTCTTGCTCTGTGCGCAGGAGGAGGAGTAGGAAACGTAAACTAAGACGTCCCGGGCCAAGGTGGGTCACCAGACAGTCGATAGTACGAGCTGGGTGCACCGACACAGGTGCTGTGTGTTCCTAGGCGAGGAGACGGTCCCGCACATCAGAGGGCACGTAGATACGTCCCTCTGGACAGTGGGCAGGTGAGGGCTTGTCACGAATTCTGCCGAGACTGCTCCTCCTCCTTGCTCGGGCAGGCTTCGGCGTTCGTCGTCCCCGGAGTACTAGCTGCCACCGTTGAATGTTTCGATGTTCGTTTGGTTTGGTCTGTCTGTTACACCTGTGTCTGTTTGTGTCTGATTATGTGCCCTATAAGTTTCCTGTGTTGTTTTCGTTAGTTTGTGTGTTATTGTCCGCCTGTCCGTTGGTGTCACCTGTGCTGTACTCTGGACTTTGTTTATTGTGACGCACTGTGTTGCGTTGTCGTTCGCCTCCTAGTTTTGAGGTCCTTTATTTTCTATTGTCAATACAGTTAGTAAAGTCTTGTTTGACTCAGCCTATGCGTCCTGCGTCTGACTCCTCAACCGCATCCACATCAACACTGACAGGGCTCCTGTCATAGGGCTCGACGGATGTCCGCGTCCACATTCCTCCAGCCAGTGTCACTATGCTTTCAGCACCTTCTTGACAGCCAACAACTCACGATCCCCCACGTCGTAGTTCCGCTCCGCGGGAGACAGCTTCCGTGAGTAGAAGGATGGAGTGCATTGGGAGAGAACAGCCCCTACTCCAACCTCGGAGGCGTCCACCTCCACGATGAAGGGCAGAGACGGGTCAGGGTGAGCCAGAACTGGTGCGTTCGTAAACCGTTCCTTGAGCACACGAAAGGCTTCATTGGCCTCCCCAGTCCAGTGCAGCTGCCAAGGACCTCCCTTCAGGAGGTGAATGAGTAGGTGTGTCCAAACTTTTGACTGGTACTGTATGTTAAATTACTATCATAGTTGGTTTAGCCACAGAAAAAGACAGGAACCTTCCCATCAGCCATGATTGGCTGAGATAATGGGTGGGCTGGACATGCCGGGAGATTAGTTTATATTGGTCTGCCATGTAGCATGCTTCTGTCTATAATGTGAGCTGCTCAGTATGTGTTGATAGTCTTTTCTACCATGCCATTTTTGAAAGGTATAACGTTAGCCATCGAGAACTACAAAAGTTTTGCTACTTTTCTCAACAACATTGATGTTGGAAAATGTGATGGGCTACTTTCTGCACCTGCCACGGTCAGTGTGAACCGGAGTGACTTGACACAACGCTGGCCAAACAAGATGTAGATACAAACAAAACGTTAAATGGTTCCAGTCTGCTGTGAAGCGTTCATCCATGTATATGGGTAAGAATCTAGCTACATTTTCAGATATTATATGTTTCTAATTTTGTCAGAAAGTTGTTTTCATTGCAAGTTAAAGTGTACTGTTAGCTAGCTAGCGAACGTTATCTAGCTTGCTGGCTCGCTAGCTAACATTACGTGTATGATCTGTGTAGTAATATTATTCGAAACAGCAATCCATTTGCATTAATAGTTATAGCCTAATGTTAGCTAGCTAACTTTTAACCAATATGGTTAGCTTTAGCTACCTGCAGATTCATATTGTTTGTATTGGTAGTAGTATGAGTTGGGATTATGTTATGCCGGTTCATTGTTTAGCTAGCTAGCTAGCTACATGTCTAAACAAAAGACACTTCGCCAGATGAATAGATGACCCATCAAGTTAGCCAGGTGTGTCTGGGGTTGATTACAGCCATCTATTGTATTCATGAACATGTGTACATATCTTGACAATAGTGACCCATCCACTTAGCTAAATGTGGCTGGGGGGTGGTTATAGCATTTCTTTCACATGACCCATCAATTTAGACAAGTGTGTCGGGTAAGCGTAATTTAATAATTATAAAATATTTATAAAGTATTTTTATCTGGACACTTTCTGTTTTTGATATTACTACTACGCAAGTAACCATTTCACTGTACTATTTACACCTTCTGTATTCTGTGCATGTGACAAATAAACTTAGATTTTATTTGATATAGTGTCTATTTACCAGAGATGGTAATGTGAAGAACAACATGACCTGCACCAAAGTCAGACTACGATATAGGCCAAGGAATATATAGTGTATTTTTACCTGAAGTTTTTCCTTATTTTAGGCCACTTCTTTTACTACTTTTAGTCTTGAAATCATTGGTTGTTTACTAAACTATTCACTCTGTTTAGCACATGGCCTCACATGGGAATCCTTAAAGAGATGGGTGGGATAGGCTTAAGAGGGTGTGAACAATGCTGAGGTGTACCAAAACACAAA